ATTTTTCCCATTGTTCTAGTTATTAGCATCTGGCTGCCTCACTGCCAAGGTAATATCTTTAGCAACCAGTCTATCTGCTTCACCCTTGCATTGTTCTCCTGCTCTCTGCTTCTCTACCTCATGTCCAGTCTGCAAACTTTCCAAATCTCTACACTCTGCTTCCCATTTAAATTCTGGATTTACATCATGCTTTTGCAGCCATAACTCAGAGTAGGCTGTTAAAAGTGACCGTGCAGCTTCCTTAATGCTTTGCTGCTTAGAAATTTCTTCTGCCAAACATTCTGGTTCACAACTCTTAAGACCCACCTTCCACAAAGTCCAAGGGCATGGACACAAACAAAGCAGCCAAGTTCTTTGCTGTGGTACAGCAAGGGTTATCTTTTGTCCAATTCCCAATAAGTTCCTCATTTCTATCTTATACCTCATCATATGCATGGTCTTTACTGTCCACATTTCTATCAACATTGTGGTCACAACGATTTAACCAATCTCTAAAATCTTCCAAACATTCTCTCATCTTTTTGTCTTTTTCTAAGTCCTCCAAACTCCTCCAACCTTTGCCCATTAGCCAGTTCCAAAGCTGCATCCACATTTTCAGGTATCTATATAGCAACACCCCACTCCTCGGTACCAATTTTCTGTATTAGGGTTCTCCAGAGAGACAGAATCAATAGGATATGTTATAATTATATGAGAGGGATTTATTAGGGGAATTAGCTCATGTGGCTGAAGAAAAGTCCCACGATAAGCCGTCTACAAACTGGATGCCAGTAGCGTGGCTCAGTCCAAGTCCAAAGGCCTCCAAACCAGGGAAGCTGATGGTGTCCTTGGTGTAAGTCCTGGAACCCAAAAGCTGAAGAGTCTTGAGCTCTGATGTCCATGGACAGGAGAAAAGAGTGTATCCCAGCTCCAGCAGATTGAGAGAGAGAGCTTCATCTCTTTCCTTTGTCTTTTGTTCTCTCTGGACCCCCAGTGGATTGGATGGTTCCCACCTACATTGAGGGTGGGTCTTTCCCACCCAGTCCACTCAGGCTCTCATACTAATCTCTGCTGGAAACACCCTCACAGACACACCTATAAAGATAGCCTTACCAGGTTTCTCAGCATTCCTTCATCTAACCAAATTGACACCTAGAATTAACTTCCTAGACATAATATTCAGAAAATGATGATGAAGTGAACATTGTACATCTAAATTCAGATAACAGTTCCAAAGCTGTAACCAGAGTCAAATTCATAGTTTTAAGTGTTTTAATTATTAAGTAAGAAAGAATGAAGACCGAAGAAAGAAAACATACAACTCAAGGAGTTAGAAGGAAAAAAATCCCCACCATACCAAAAAAAGAATGAAGGAATTAATAAAATACAAAAACATGAATTAGAAAATAGAAAACTAAGGGCCAGCCCGTGGCTCACTCGGTAGAGTGCGGTGCTGATAACACCAAGGCCATGGGTTCGGATCCTATATAGGGATGGCCGGTTTGCTCACTGGCTGAGCGTGGTGCTGACAACACCAAGCCAAGGGTTGAGATCCCCTTACCGGTCATCTTTAAAAAAAAAAAAAGAAAATAGAAAACTAGAAATGATAAATTCAAAAGCGGGTTTTTTTGGGGGGGGGGCAGGGGAAATAAAATACACAAACTTCAAGCTAGTATTAATTTCTTAAAATGAGAAAATACACACTTATGCACACGTATTAAAAAAATCCTATCAAGGATGAGAAAGTAGTAGTCACTACAGGTACAGTGATAAGATTTTTAAATTATAAGATAATACTTTGTACAGTTCCAAACTCCATGCTAATATATTTGAAAATGTCAATGAATTGAATGATTTTCCAGGAAATGTAAGTTACTAGAATTGACTTAAACATAGAAAATATTATAAAAGAATTATCTCTAAGAAGGGGGCCAGGACCAGATGGTTTTACTGACAAGTTATTTTATGCTCTCAAGAATCCAGTAATTCTCCTGTTATTATATAAAGTCCTCCAGAGCATAGATTGAGATAGAAAGCTTCTCAATTCATCCTACAAAATTAACATAGCTCAAAAAAGATGACTAGAGTACATGCCATTTTAATTTTAACTTCAGATGCAATGATTTTTGAATGAAATACAGCAAATTTAGTACAACACAGTTAAAATAATAATGCACCATAGCCAACAAGAGTCATGCGTGTCTAAAAGTATCACCAAAATCCTTTATCTTCAGGCTCCTGAAGGGGTCCAGTCCAAAAGCAACGTATCTTTCCAAGCTGTGTGTTTCATATTGACTATGTATTGGAGAGCAATAGTAAATTAGAGTATAAAAGGGGACTCCTCCCAGTAATAACAAAAATAGTAAATAAAATAAACATAGGAACACACTTATCCGGAAATGGTGAAGGTCCTATGTGAAGAAAACTGTAGAGCTACTGAGAAGTGTCAAAGATTTGAGTAAATGGGTGTACACATCACGTCCAGGTTGATGAGTCTTAGATTGAAAAGATGTTCACTTCTCCCTTAGTTATTCTTTAAGTTAACACAAATCCAATAAAAATTCTAATAGGGATAATTAAATAATTTTATTTAGGGACATTTCCTTACATGTTAAGGACTTTATTCACTATTTCTTTTTTTTTTTTTTTCCTTTTTTTTGTCTTTTTTACTGACCGGTAATGGGATCGCAACCCTCGGTTTTGCGCCCGTACCGGGGACCGGCAACGGGATCTCAACCCTCGGTGTTGCGCCCGCACCGCACTCAGCCAGTGAGCGGGAACCGGTCTCCACATGGGATCCGAACCCTCGGCGGGAGCACCGCTGCACTCCCAAGCAGCGCACTCTCCAGTGTGCCACCGGGCCGGCCCATTTATTCACTATTTCTATTGTAACTGAAGATCTTTCTTGACTAGCCAATTGAAATAAGACAAGAAAAAAAAAGAATTAAATATAAATATTGTAAAGAAGAAGAAAAAAATTATCATACACAGATGATAGTACTGTTTACCTGGAAAATACAAGAGACTCGACTGAAAACACTGGAACTAAAAAGAGGTTTTCATTGTATGGCTGGTTACAGAACAAAGATTTATAACTTTTTCATGTAATGGCAATTGAAAAAAATATTTTATCATAGTTGCAAAACATGTAAAAACTGGGAATAAACCTAGCCTAAAACTGTAGGATCTATGTGAATCTATACTGAGAACCTTAAAAAGACTTAAAAAATGAGGGCCGGCCCGTGGCTCACTCGGGAGAGTGTGGTGCTGATAACACCAAGGCCCTGGGTTCGGATCCCATATAGGGATGGCCGGTTTGCTCACTGGGTGAGCGTGGTGCTGACCACACCAAGTCAAGGGTTAAGATCCCCTTACCGGTCATCTTTTTTAAAAAAAAAAAGACTTAAAAAATGAAGGGAGAATTTCTCAGTATTGTAAGGAGAAGAAAAATCAGAAAGGCAGAATGATGTTAGATGGGGATAGAGAGAAAAGTATTCATACATGTGTTTAAAAAGCAACACATGATTGGCAGCAACAAGAGGCAGCTCAATGGAACAGAACAGAAAATGCAGAAACTAGCCTAGTTTATATATGCATTCACTGTATCGTAACAGTGCTGTTTCCAGACAGTAAGTAAAGTTAGATTACTTAACAAATGCTACTGGGGAAGTTGGTTAACTATTTCAGAGAAAACAACTTGATCACTAAGAAAAGCAATTTCAGGGCCGGCCCGTGGCTCACTCGGGAGAGTGCGGTGTTGATAACACCAAGGCCACGGGTTCGGATCCCATATAGGGATGGCCGGTTTGCTCACTGGCTGAGTGTGGTGCTGACAACACCAAGCCGAGGGTTGAGATCCCCTTACCGGTCATCTTTTTTTAAAAAAAAAAAGAAAAGCAATTTCAGATAGATTAAAAAATGAAACCTAATGAACCAAGGTTGGAATGTAGGTGATCACTTGCAATTGGATAATTTAACAATGGGGAAGGTATTTTTAAGAATAAAAACAAAGATGGGAACTGCCAATGAAAAACTTGCTAGATTGGCATTACCAAATAAAAAATTTGAATATGAAAGTAAATCAAATCAAAAAACAAAGGTTAAACTGGGAGAGAATATTTGGAATATATATAACAGGTAAAGGTTTAAGAAACTTCATATATAAAGAGCATTATCAATCAATGCAGTGATTTTTCTTGATTGTTATTAGACTTCCTTTTGAAGGGATCAATAGTTTCAGGGAAGAGCCTTATGTCACACAATTTTTGTTATGTCCCACTCTGTGCTGGAGGTATGGTTCGCCCTGCTTTACAGATGAGAAAAGTAAGGCTTAGAGTTAAATAGATAGGAGGTCTGGAGCTGAGATTCAAAGCCAGGTATGTCTTAACTCCAGAGTTCATGCATCTCCCCTCACCGCGTTATCCCTGTCCCTAACACATGGCCTCTCCCAGATTCCTGGCTGGGGGGCGCGGGGGAGGAGAGCACCTGTTGCTGGAGTTCTCCCACCTGTAATTTAGGAGCACAAAGACAACCATCAGCCACTTTCAAGTTCTGTCGAGGTGACTGTGGGGCTGGTGTGACCCAGGGATTGCAGGTGCTGGCATTGGTGAAGGCATCAGGTGGTTGGCATGGCAACCCATGGGTGATTGACAGTCTGCAGTGCTGAGAATCCTGCCATTTGCCCCTGTGCAGCATGAGACCAATAGTCTGTCCCAGGTGCCTCTTGGAGGACACAGAACCTCTCATCCACATCAGAGCCTCTTACGGGGAGGAAAGGAAGGGATGTGGACCTTTCTTGCCCTTCCTGGCCTCAGTTTCTTCATCTGTGAAATGGGCCAGCTGACCTCAAGTCCTGGCTGGCTTCCAAGGCTGCTGCCGTGATGACAGGTGTGCTCCTTGTAGCCTGTATGTCACTGTATAGCTGCCCTGACTCTACCAAGTCATGCAAATCACTTGTGAGTTACAGGAAGGGGAACAACCTCCTGTCATCATCCTCCCCTCTCCTCCTTGTCACCTTACAGGACCCAGATGGTGACCGAAGACTCTGTGGTCTATTATAACTATTCAATTATTGGAACCTTCACTGTGAAGCTCAAAGTGGTGGCGGAGTGGGAGCAGACAAAGCCGGATGCTGCCAAGGGCGTCATGCAGAAGATGGGCGACTTCTCGGCCTCACTGAAGCTGCAGGGTGAGTTTCCAGCTGGGCTGGCACAGGCGGAGGGTCTGGCCCCATGGGGAGCCCCGGATGCTGCTGCTTCCAGAGTGGGGTCACTGCATGCAGGTCAGAGTGGCTCCAGGTTGGCATTGGGCAGAGCTTGACGCACACCCTTTCTTGTTGTGCCCCATGGCTCTGATCAGTCTCTATCATTATCCCCACTTCAAAGAGGGCACCCAAGGCTACCGAGGGGGTCACATGGTTGCTTAATGGAAGAGCTGGCATTCGAACCCAGCCACCTACTCCCAGAGCCTGAGCCTGTCACCAGACATTTCCTGTGAGTTGGCTGGTCCCCTCTGCTCCTTGTTGTCCGGCAACATCTGCCTCTGGTCAAGGCTCACCCGGACAGGGTGGGAGGCCTCAGTCTACCGCACGGGGCGGGAACACCAAACCCATGTCTCCCAGTGCTTGGGAAGCTGTGGGAAGTTTCTTAGTCCTCATTGATGGGGTGGTGCTTCCTGCGTGGCACAGGGGATGGCACGGTGGCAGTGGGCAGGAGAGTCAGCCTTTGCCTGCTTCCTCTGACTTCTTCCCTGGGAGCCAGCTCCAGCACCTGCTGCCATCAGGAGAGGGCAGGACCCGGAGTACCCTGCAAAGATCTGTGACCCTCCCTTGGGAGAGGGTGAGAGGACAGGACAGGGTAGTGGTCACATAGCGCTGGGCCCTGAGAGCCCCGTTACAGCAGTCCTCAGCCACCAGGTCTAATGCGGTTCTCTCTACCTTACAGAAACCCTTCGAGGCATTCAAGTCTTGGGGCCCACCCTAATTCAAACTTTCCAAAAGATGACAGTGACCTTGAACTTCCTGGGGAGGTGAGTGAAGGCCAGAGTGCCCTGTGGGTGCCCCGCAGGCCCCACTCACATGGATAGATGCTCCTAAGTCTGCTTCATGTCCTGGTGGGCCCCAGGTCTGGGGCCTTATGGAAAGATCATGTCCTTCTGCCTTGTGGCTGGAGAGCTGTGGGCATAGCTCCATTCTCAGGGTCCCAGGGAGGAAGGATGTGCCTTTTGAGGCTGTCGGCAGCCTGGGTATTGAGGCAAGGGCAGGGTAGGGACCCCTTTTGTGAGAAGCCCTCTGAGGATGACGTGGGCCTGTTTTCCAGCCCCCTGGCCTCTGCCCAGGCAGTTCTTTCAGCCTGGAGCTGCCTTCCCTTCCTCTTACGTATTCAAACACTCCTCCTCCAAAGCCCCTTGAAATGCCTGCTTCCAGGAAGCCTGTTCTGGCCTTCCGCCTGCCTCTGGGAGCTTGTACCAGCCAGAAGTTGGTTGAGAGTCTGCTTTGCACCAGGCATTGTTCTAGAAGCTGGAGTTATAAGAGTCAACCAGACAGTGCCACTGCTTCCAAGGGTTCTGTGTGCAGGCTGGGGCACCCCATGAGAAACAGAAGTGAGCAATCCCAAGGGATTCTCATGAGCTACCCATGTGGGTGGGACCTGGCCCGGGCTCTTGGTGAGAATGGCATTGGGTTGAGTGTTTAGTAAGTGGGGAGACACGGAGATGCTGGGTGTGTTCACCCACCAGGGAAACCACTGGGATGGACAGAACTGCAGAGGTCAGTGGAGGACTATTGTCCCCACACCAGGACACATAGGAGGGATGCAAGGCCAGACAGAGGGAGCAACTTAGGGACTGGCGGTGGCTCCTAAAGTTTTCAAGGGGCTTTGGAGGAAGGAGCTTAGTATGTGGAGAACGGGGAACTGTTTGGGTTTGGCAGATCTTTGAGGTGGCGTGTGTGTGTTTTACTTGGGGCCTGGAGTTGTGTGAAATTGGAAGGCTTGTTTAGCATTCCTTAGAAGAACCTGCATTTTCCAGCTTCTGAGCCTGTGTTCATGGCACGCAGATAACCCAGATGCCCTCACCCTTTCTGACCTATCAAAAGCCTGCTCAAACGCCACCTCCTCCAGGAAACCTTCCCTGACTTCTTCATTAAGAACGTGCCCATTCACTCCTCCGTGCTTTCATAGCACATCACTGTGCCATTGGATACTCACCCTGCCTTTGTTAAACAATGTGTGTGTGTCTCTGTTCGCCTCACTAGCCTGGCCATCTCTTTTGAATCATCGTGTTGCCTGGTCTGGAATGTGTGAAGCTGGGGCCAGGACAGTGTGGCACCTTGCCCTGGAAAGGACACTGAAGTTCATGCCCACCTGGCCTTTCCTGGTCTGTGTTAATATTCCTAGCCGAGCCATTTCTGAAAAGCCACCCCCATTTCCCTGCAGCCCCCCTCTGAGTGTGTGCTGGCGTCTCAAGCACGAGTGTCTCCCACTGGAGGAGGGGGAATGCCAGCCGGTGTCCGTGGCCAGCACAGCCTACAACCTGACCCACACCTTCCGGGATCCTGGGGACTACTGCTTCAGCATCCGGGCCGAGAATGTCATCAGCAAGACGCATCAGTACCACAGGATCCAGGTGTGGCCCTCCAGTAAGTGACACCTCACCTTCTGCTCCAGTGCCACACAGGCAGCAAAAACCCGTCACCTCTGCCACCATGACTGGCATGCTCTAACCCACCCAAGGGAGGTCATCAACAACCAACCCCACCAACACTAGCACCACTGATAACCCTGTTGACACCAGCGACAACCAGTGCCACCATTGACCCACTCTGCCAATACCACCCCACTAACTCTACTGCTAGCATCAACAACCAACTCTACCAACACCAGTTCCAACACTCATCAGCTCTGCCCACACCACCAGCAACCCCAGCACCCCCCAACAATAACAACCAACTCAGCCACCAGCATACCAGACACACTAGTAACCATTCTTCCAACACCATCATTGTCATACCAACAGCTCCAGCAGCGTTCCCACCAAGTCACCTCAGTGACCCCTGTCCCCCCGATTTCTATAAACACCACTGGCAGAACCAGCAGACTGTAATACCAGGCTCTGCAGTCACCACCACCTATACCACCACCAGCCTCAATGCTGTGCTGCCTGGCGTCACCCCAGCTTCAGCTCCCATTGCCAACACCATTGCTGTCAGTGTCCCCTCCCACATATTCCCAAGAGCACATGTGTCCCCCACATGAACACTCCCACATAAATGAGCCAGCACAGCCGCAGTGTTCCCTCCTTCACCACCATCACCCTTGCCCCTGCACTGCTGCCCCCACCCAAACCAGCACCTTCGATAGTAGCTGTGGGACTCACAGGGCTGTGCAGGAAGTACTCTTCCAGGGAGTGTGAGCAGCTCAGAAAGTGCAAAGTACAGTCCGTATAGCTAATAAGGATGCCCAACCTCTTCCCCTTGGAATACCCTTCCCCAAACCATCATCAGGCCTGGCCACTGGCTTATGAGCTGGTGACAGCATTAGGTTCTACACTTTATTTCCATGGGGGACTCTAGGACCCCAGAAAAGTGTGTCCTTACATAGAGGAGAAAGGATTCCAGAGTCCTAAGAGATGGCCTTTTTTTTTTTTTTTCCGTGTCCGGCAACGGATCGCAACCCTCAGTGTTGCCCCCGTACCGGACCGGGGACCGGCAACGGGATTGCAAGCCTCGGCGTTGCTCCCGCGCCTCGCTCAGCCAGTGAGCGGGAGCCGGTCTGTATGTGGGATCCGAACCCTCGGACGGGAGCGCCGCCGCGCTTCCCAAGCGGCGCACTATCCAGTGCGCCACTGGGCCGGCCCGAGATGGCCTTTTAGATACTCAACCCAGTCCCACACTTCATGCTACAAAAGCATAAACTGAGGCACGGGGAGGCAATAAGAGTGGGTGCCAGCCTGAGCCCCAACCCAAGCTTTCAGACTCCTGGTCCAGTGTTCTTCTCTGGGAGTAGGAGTTCTTCCCAGTGCCCCTGAGCACATGCCAGCTGCACCTGCCCCCAGGGTTGGTCCTGTAGGTTCACTTGACACCATCACCATCCCCTATAGTCTCCTTAGTCCGTTACTGACCTTCTGAGCAGATGCCGTGATCCACTCTGGGTCCCGGCTGACTTTCTGGGCATTATCGATGGCCTGCTGACCCCAGCATCCCCTGGGCACCCTGTCACAGGGCTGTGTGGGTATCTCCACAACATGGCTTCTCTTCCCCAAAGCAAATCACCCAACAGAGCAGGAGGAATCTGTGATGTCTTTTATGACTTAGACCTGGGGGTCATACACCGTCAGTCCCGTCATCTACTGTAGACTGGGAGCTACTCACTGAGTCAGCCCACACTCATGGGGTGGGGAATTTAGCTGCCCCTCTCAGAAGTTACTATCAAGTAACCCGTGGACATATTTTAAAACCCCTACATACCCCAATTTATTTTTTGTGAAATCCAGGATTTGCCTGTTGGGGGTGCCTAGTTGGGATGCATGTTTATAAGAGAAAAAAGATCTCTAGTGGGGGTGGACTATTCTTTTCTCCATTGTGCTCACTTCCTGAGAACCAGCATTTCAGCACCAGCTACCTAGTCCCATGACTTCACTTCTCTCACTCCCAGGCATCCAGCCTGCTGTCTTTGCCTTCCCGTGCGCCACGCTTATCACTGTGATGCTGGCCTTTATCATGTACATGACTCTGCGGAATGCCACTCAGCAAAAGGACATGGTGGAGGTGGGTGCTCAGTAGTGTGGGGGCTGGAGCACTGGGCCCTGCCTAGAGATGATCTCTGGAGAAGGCATGGGGGCCAGGCCAGGATGCCTGAAGTGGGTCTTGATGTTAGAGCAAGGCCCTGGGGTTTGGGGTGATATGCCCAAGAGGCATCTGTAGACGGGCAAAATTATTAGTTGGCAATTTTAGAAGTCATCCCATCTGACCTGTCTCCTTCCGTACTCACCCTTCTCACAGAAAGGTGTTTCTGTGCACTCTGCTGCCAGGCGGCTGAGCTCATAAGGCCACTTGATGGGGCTCCCTGTGGGTGGGTGATTGACCCGTGGGGTTTTGTTCACCATAGGTGGCTGATTTTGACTTTTCCCCCATGTCTGACAAGAACCCGGAGCCGCCCTCTGGTGTCAGGTGCTGCTGCCAGATGTGCTGTGGGCCTTTCTTGCTGGAGACTCCATCTGAGTACCTGGAAATTGTCCGTGAGAACCACGGGCTGCTCCCACCCCTCTACAAGTCTGTTAAAACTTATACAGTGTGAGCAACCCCCCAACCCCATCTCGGTGTCCACTGGCTGCCAACTTGGAGCCTTGGGCAGGGTGGTGCATACCATACAGCAGGAGGGATTTGTCTGCATGGGGCCATTCACCCTGGCTGTCTGTCTATCTATACAGTCCAGCCACTGCCACAAGCCTCTCTCAGTCACCTCCATCCCACCCCCCACCTTTGAAGAGGCTCCAAGCAGGACTCTGACACTTGATGTGTCCCCTGTTCTCTCCAGGTGGGCCTGGCTGTCCCTCACTCATTCTTCTCGCATTGGCACTCCTGCCCGTCAGGGGTTCACACTTCCCTTCCTGGGCAGCTCTGCCTATGCCAGAGATCTAGTAAGAGATCACCGGTCACAAATGGTTAAGGATGCGTAGCAAAAAGTCATACACACAGGTAGGCGTGCACGTGTACACACACACCCATGTGTCACACGGGCATCTCAGGTCATTTGCTCTATCTGTCAAGTCAGTTGCCAGTGTGCACCTTGACTAGAACTAGAATGAAGTTTGACCTTCTCCACTCAGCCCAGCAGCTCCCAGGCTGGGCTTCCCTCTGTTTACTGTCTCTGCAGCTCCCTGGTCCTGTCCTGTGTGAGGCTATACTATTCCCTGCCTGCTCGCTGGGGGCTGGGTGGGGGCAGAACTAACACTTTCTGAGTGCAGAGTGCTTTATAAATACCACCTTCTTTTATTGAAACCCAGAAGTTAAATTCGCATTGAGGAAAAAGCCTTGCAGCAACAGAAGAGGTTGAGCCAGTGGGGATTTGGGGTCCCTGTGGGGGATGGGGAGTGGTATTCTTGCCCCCCAGCTGCTCCCAAGGTGGCCTTGAGAAGGAAAGCAGGCTGACAGAACCCGAGCAGGGGAAGCGGCCCACTCCCTCCCCTCCAGCCTGTGACGTGGGGGCAGCAGAGCATTTGGAGAGGGCAAGTCACAGGTGCCCAGGGGGATGACGATGAGGCCAGGTGCAGGCATCCAGGTGTGCTGGGAGCAGCCTGAGCCTGTTTGGAGAGGGAAGGGCAGGACCTGGGGGCAGAGCTCTGTCGCTGTAACCCTTTGCTCTCGGACTGTGCTGAAAACAGCATTCACACTGTCGTGCAGCTCATTCTCATGAAATACCGCCATTATTGCTGAATAAAGCTTGTGTGCTCTAAATATAGCCAAGCATATACTGTGTGGCCAGTCTCTTTGTCATGCATGGATGGACACTTGGGCCTTGCAAACAGCAAGGACAGTTTTTGGATGCAGCAGGACATCCCTGGCATGTTCTGTGGTGAAGGGAACTGAATGGAGCTGATTGGGGTCCCTGGAGGTGGGATCAGGTGTCCCCAAGTAACTTGGACACGTAATACATGTGCTTCATTAAGTAAGATCCAGCAGCAGGTCTAATAACAACTGTAATTTCAAAGTTGTGGTATTTGTGATTTTTATTGATGGCAACGTCACAGATGCTACTAACAACACTCATTTTTTGGCCTATGCTTATGAGGGAAGGAAATGATTCAATGAAAGTTTCATAAACATAAAGACGTAACTTCTCCCATCCAAATTCATGAATTCTCTCCATGTATCTCTTGGGGGTCGGGACACCCCAGGTTAAGAGCCCCTGGCCCAGACCCTGCCTGGTGGCATGTATTACTCTTGCTATTCTGATACCTGTAATTCAGTATAATTGATTTCCTTTTTTAAAAATTATATTTTTATTATTTTGTATTATACTTTTTAAAACATTATTCTGAGAAGAGGACTTGACTTCAGAGGAGTTCATGTGCCAATAAGGTTATCAAGCTCCTGTAGCTGTTTCCTAGAGAGGTCCACAGGGGCACTAGGGGCAGTGGGGTCATTGCTGTCTATGGCCCAGAGGAAAGAACCCTTCTGGGGGCCTTTAAGGATCCAGGGGACCAGGTGCCATCTGCCTGCAGTACCCACAATTTCCAGGAGGTGGCAACCCTTGCATGTCCACGCTTCCTGCAGTCTCTTCCTGCAGTCTCCTCCTCCCAGACTCAGCCAGGGAACAAGTGGGCAGAAGGGCACAGATGGGCGTGTCCTGGCAGCTGTAACACCTGCAAACATGCACACACCTGTGTACATGTTGTGAACACTCAGGCACACACCACACACATGCATGCTCACTCTCACACAGGCAGAATAGCCAACCTGGCAATCAGCTTTCAGAACATTCAGCCCCTTCCTGGACAGGAGGCATTCCCAGGACTCTGGTCCTGGGGAAGTCCTTTCAGAAGAGGAGGTCCCCTTTCTTCTGCCACTTCTTTTTCTTCCCCAGTAGCTGAGGCAGCCACAGTTCTCCAGGAGCCAACAGCTCCAGCCACAAAATAATCTAATTGCAGCTGAGTCAAGGAGTAGTGTTAGGAGGTGGAGATCTGAGTTCTAGTTTGGCTCCGTGACCTTGGGCAAGTCACTTAGTCTGTCTCACATTTAGTTTCTTCGTGTTGCACAACATATGTAAAGAGTGAACTCATACAACTCAACAACCAAATGACAACCCAATTAAAAAATAGGCAAAGAATTTGAATAGAAATTTCTCCAAGGAAGATATATAACTGGCCAATAAGTGCATGAAAAGATGCTCAGCATCACTGGTCATTAAGGAAATGCAGGGGCCGGCCCGTGGCTCACTTGGGAGAGTGCAGTGCTGATAACACCAAGGCCACAGGTTCGGATCCCATATAGGGATGGCCGGTTAGCTCACTGGGTGAGCGTGGTGCTGACAACACCAAGGCAAGGGTTAAGATCCCCTTACTGGTCATCTTTTAAAAACAAAACAAAAAACAAAATAACAAGTGCTGGTGAGGATGTGGAGAAATAGGGACCCTTGTATATTGCTGGTGGGGATGTTCAATGGTGCAGCTGTTGTGGAAAACAGTTTAGCAGTTCCTCAAAGAGTTACACATATAATTACCGTATGACTAAGGAGTTCCACTCTTGGGTTCATACACTGATGAATTAAAAACAGGTACTTATACAGATACTTGTTCACGAATGTCCGTAGCAGCACTGATCACAATAGCCAAAAATGTGGAAACCCAGATGTCCATCAACTGACAAATGGGTGAACGAAATGTGGTCTATCCATACAATGGAGTATCATTCAGCCATAAAAAGGAAAGAAGCACGGACACATGCTACAACATGGATGAACCTCCAAAAATACGCTGGGCCAGCCTGTGGCTCACTTGGGAGAGCGTGGTGCTGATAACACCAAGTCAAGGGTTAAGATCTTCTTACTGGTCATCTTTTTTAAAAAGACAAAACAAGGCTGGCCCGTGGCTCACTCGGGAGAGTGTGGTGCTGATAACACCAAGGCCACAGGTTCGGATCCTATATAGGGATGGACGGTTTGCTCACTTGCTGAGCGTGGTGCTGACAACACCAAGTCAAGGGTTGAGATCCCCTTACCGGTCATCTTTTAAATAAATAAATAAATAAATAAAATAAAAATAAAAAGACAAAACAAAAACATTATGCTAAGTGAGAAAAGCCAGACACAAAAGGGTCACATATTGCATGATTCCATGTGTAGAAAATGTCCAGAAGAGCCATTACTTCATGAATGGATCAATCCATTCACACGGGCACAGGCCTCACAATCTAATCACCTCTTAAAGGCCCTGCCTTTCAAATACCACAGTTGTATTTCCCACCCTTTTAATACTTTTTTTTTTTCCTTTTTGTCTTTTTTACTGACCGGTAACAGGATTGCAACCCTCGGTGCTGCGCCCGCACCGCGCTCAGCCAGTGAGCTGGAACTGGTCTCCACATGGGATCCGAACCCTTGGTGGGAGCGCCGCCGTGCTCCCAAGAGGCGCACTCTCCAGTGCGCCACCGGGCCAGCCCTTTAATACTTTTACAATGCAGATCAAGTTTCAGGATAGCTTTGGAGGGAACATTGAAACCATAGCAGAGAGAGAATGGGTGCATTTTCCAGGCATCATTCAGTGAACATTCTGGAGGCACCCAGAATGCACCAGGGACCCAGCTGATACTGGACACATGCCCCTCTCTCTAAGCTTGCAGCCCATGACAAGGGCTGCCATCGAGACTGAAACTGGAAGATGCTGCAGGAACAAGTGTGAGGTGAGAATGTGGGGAGCTGCCGACCCGCTTCCCGGGCCTGGCTCCCTCTCCGGCTTCTTGCCAGATCCATGTCAGACTCACAGCACCCCGCCCTGGTGGGCACCCGGGGCCAGCTTCTCATTGGTGAGGAAAATTTCCTCAGTGACTCCTCATTCTACAGGCATTTTTCTGACTTATTTTGTGCCCAGTGTTGGTGACACTGGCCCACTCAGAAGCAGGAAAGCCTGGCTGTGGTCCCGGCTGGCCCCTGGCAGTGCTGCCTTCTGCTCACCAGGGCCTTCAGTCCCCTGCACCACCTGCTCAGGACCCCCGGAACTCCCAGGAGGCCACGGGCTCGCCCCCTGCATGAGGACCCTGGGGAGAACAGGGCGGCCATTGGGGATCCAGGGTGCGCTAACCTCTTGGTTCTACTGCTGCCGCCTCTGCTCTGGATGCTGCTGCTCCCTCCTTAGGTCTGGGTCTCCACCACTGTGACATGTGGTCAGTTCCTCTATTTCTCCTCCCTCCACTGACCACCTTGTGCTGCTCTTCTCTGTGAGCTGCACACAGGTGCATGTGTGCATGTGCGTGCATGTGTGCATTTGCATGCATGTACATGCATATGCGTATGTGCTTGTGGGCATCTGTACACGCATGCAGGTGGCACAGAGTGGGCCTCTGGGAGTGATGGGATAAAGCACTGAACAAGACCCTCATATGGTGGCAGGGACGTGACCCAGTGAAAGCAGGGCTTGGGAGAAGGCAGGAGGGTGGGGGAGGACCTGGCGGGGAGGGCAGCTCCATCCCGGCCTCTGCTGGGTGGCCTGATGGTAGAACATCGCTCTCAGTCTCCTCATCTGCAACAGGAAAGGCTTCGGACACCCTGCAAGGCTCAGGGCACTTCTGATCTTCTCTGGCTCGACCTTTGCATCAAAACTTGGAAAACACACATACCCGGTTTAAGCCTGCATTTGACATGTCATGAGTCTCTTTTCGAAAAGTCCATCAGGTCCCCCTACAGTTTACTTTCCATCTAAATGACCCCTAATCATTGTCTCTAGCTCACACTGCACCCCCAAGCCCCCAGTGGGTATGTTGGGCTCTCTCTTTGACCTCTGCCTGTCCAGAACCGGACTCCAGTCTTCCCCACCAGGCCCGACCTCTGAGCTCAAATCTACCCCATCCCAGGAGACCTTACCTCACATCCGTGGGGTGCTCAAGCTAAACATCCTGTAGGTTTCGATTCTCCTGCTTTTACCCTCTGATGTGCAATCTGTCGGCTAGTCCTACCAACTCTGTTTCTAGAATATACCCCAAGTCCATCCACGTTGGTCTCTGCTGGCCCCATCCTCCCCCTGGGGGGCTGCAGAGCCACCTTCCTGGTCTCCCTGCTGCACCCTGTGTGCAGTGACCTCTAACAGTGTCAGCTGGACCACAGATTTCCCTGGCCCACCTGTGCCTCCATCGCCCTTAGAATAAGCCCAGCCCCTCCTTCTACCCTCTGCCCACCTCCTTCCCACCTCGCGGGCCTTCTCTTAGATCCTTGCACAAGCTGTATTAATTTGCTAGGGCTGCCACAACAAAGCACCACCAACTGGGTGGCCTAAACAACAGGAATTTATTCTCTTACAGTTTTGGAGGCCAGGAGTCCAAAATCAAGGTGTCAGCAGGGTTGTTTCCCCCTAGAGGCTCTGAGCATGAATCTGCTCCAGCTTCTGGTGGTCGCTGCCAATCCTTGGCGTTCCTTGGCTCACAGATGCATCACTCCAGTCTCTTCTTCCCTCCTCACATGGCTTTTTGCTCTGTGTCTCTGGGCTCCATCGCCTTTCCCTTATGAAGACATCAGCCATTGGATCCAGGGCCCACCCTAAATCCAGGATGACCTTATCCCAAGATCCGTGACGAGTTATATCTGCAAAGACCCTGTTTGCAAGCAAGGTCATGTGCTGAGATTCTGGATGGGCATGACTTCTGGGGACACTATTCAACCCAAGACACAGGTCCAACCTGGAGTTACCTAGAACATGATGAGGGGTGTGTGGGTCTTGGGGGCCTTCTGAGTGACCCCAGGAGCAGAGGCATGCAGAGCCGGGGC